AAATCACTGGTCTAGGAGACTGAAAGCTTCCAAAGCACTGTTCATAATTCTTTCACTTCAAAGAGTCACGGTTTTTACGTTAAGGGTTAAGTTTTCTGCAAAGATGCCACTATCCTTTCAGGAGAATGAAGTGCAAACAAAAAGAGGGGGGAATGTTACTGGGAGGTGGGAACAAACAGCTCTTAATTCCTGGCTGCACAGCTCACTAACTTGGACCACCTGGGAGTTCCGTGATGTATCTCAGATATAGTATCAGGAAGACCACGTTAGACTTAACTTAAACAGTACAATACAGATACCATGATAGTGCCAACAAACTGAAGAGACAAGTAGTTACTAAAAACCACAAGATCTTGTTTCATTTATATATAAGCCCCTATTATCAACTGCCAGCAGCAGCCTAATAACCAAAAACTTTTGTCTACTTCAAAGTATTTCACACCAAATGCTCTAAACAGTGTCATACTGGGCTATGAAGCTATTGGTATCATCTGGACCATTTCTTATTTTTTAATGATCTTTGAATTTCATCCTCACAGAATCATACTACAAATGATCCTGGAACTGACCTCCCCCTATGGAGTAATCAATGCCCATTGAGTAGGAATGCCATTATCATAGGCCTCCTTCCACACTTTCCCATGGGTGTTCTCTCACCAGTGTTCACAGGGGTTATGCCTCATTCTTACCCAGATGTCTCTAATTTCACCCATTTCTCTCCACATAAGAAGGAAATACATGAAAAGAACCATCTCCAATTTTAAAAAATCATTCTAGAATCTTCTGCACTCAAATTATCTTAATTTAATGTCATAAGACATCTCACAACTGATCAATAATGTATCAGTGTCACAACAAACTTATCTAGTACTGCTGGTTCTGAACAGTGTAAGATATAATTATTAGCAATTTTTTTCATCTACAATATTTTATTTTTAATCCTCACCCAAGAATATTTTTCCACTGATTTTCAGATAGAGTGGGAAGGAGGGAGAAAGAGAGAGAGAGAGAGAAACATTGATGTGAGAGAAAGACACATCGATTGGTTGCCTCCCCCATGATCCCAACCGGGGCCGGGGATCGAACTGCAACTGAGGTACGTGCCCTTGACTGGAATTGAACCCGCAACTCTTCTGTCCTGGGACTGACACTCTAACTGCTGAGCCAAACCAGCCAGGGCTCATCTACAATATTTTCAACAAAAGTGGGTTCCTTACAAAAAGAGCTCAAAATCATTAGCACAGTTAATAACTTGAAAGTGAGCATCAAAAGGTATTCAATAAAAGCCACTGTGATATATTTGAACATGTATGTGCAAGATGCTCTGATATTTTAGTAAGAAAAACTTTCTTAGTATTCTTAACCAATTCACATCAATTTACTTTTACGGAACTTGCTTTTTCAAAAATATACTTTTTCTGTGCCTTTGCAAAGAAAAGAACCTATATTCTTAACAGAGGGTGATTGGGAAAATTACCCTATTGAATTAACAGGGTCCAAATATGAGAAAGGCAAATAATGATTAAAAGGAAATTTATACTCATCTAATCCAAACCACCAAAATGTGACTGGTGTCAAACAGTTAAAATCAAGCTATTCCCATGACAGGGAACTGACTACTGGGCAATCCAAGTCATTTTCAGACAACTCTATTAGATCTTTTTAAGACTGTGTCAAGTATCTGCCTCCTTAAACCTGTCCCTTAGACTCATAGATCAAGTCACATTCCTCTCTTACATGGATGTTAAGCAAATATTTGCAGAAAGTGATCCTATGAACTCTCTTCTCTACTGTGTCCTGTCCACAATCTTGTCTCCCATGTAGACAAACCCATTTCCTTGATGCATCCCCCACCACAGGGCTTTAAATGCCCACATCCTACTCCAATGTATGGATCCTTTCAAGCAGTGGCTCCAGTTCTAAACACAATACTTAAGTTCTCCTGTAACAATCAATATAAAAGACAGTAGGTCTCGCTATCACCTGACTCACTGAGGACACTTTAGTTCTAGTAAATGTTGCCCTTGGACACACTGGCACTGCTGATTAACATTAAGCAGTCAGCTGAGAGGGCTGTGCTTTTACCCAGGAGACTGCTGTTACACAAGGGCTCCATATGCTAAACTGTAGAGTTTATTTATGCGAGGCCACATTTTCTGCTGTTAAACTTCCATCTGATTAGATGTGATCTCGTTTCACCTTAATTGTGAACCCGAGTCCCAACTGTTCCTCTCTATAGCTATCCCTCTCAACATAATGACTTGAAATCTGATCACACACCAACATTATAATCTGATGAAAAGGAATAATTATTTAGCACCTAGCACAAGGCCTAGTATATGAGTAGGAAACTCAATAATCATTGAATGAATAAACGTGTTCACATACTCTTATTTAATCCTAAAAATTCTGTAAAGCATTATCACCTCCATTTACTATGAGACTACTGAATATCTGAGGGCTTAGACTACTGCTCTTCTGATTACAAACCCTGTACTCTTTGAACTACTCTTCATTAACCTCCCTGTATTCACTGGGAAAAGTATTGAATCAAACAAGGATGGGAGCACAGGTCCTTACAGATCCCCAAGATAGTATGTATCCAAGAGTCTACAATTTGAGTACAGTCATTCAACTAGCAGTAAGTTATCTACCCAGTCTGTTAGAAATTTCTTCATGCTACATCCATTTAATGGCTTCTTATTTATATTCCTAATGTCATGACAATAAAAAGAGAAATTTAAATAAGTGGTGTTAAAATGAGTTTCATATGGAAACAACGATGCACAAGTAATAATTACTTCGTTTTAAAAAAAAAAATCAATGGGCAAATCAGTCTGTGAATGATAATTACATCTCTAACATACATTTTTGAGAAATGTTTACCACTGTCGGAATCATGCTCTGAAGAATTTGCCTGGTACTTTTAAGAATTTGGAATTTGTATAGTAATTTTCATAACTGCAATGCTACTATTAATTGGATTTTTTTCTCTCAGATATTAATAATACCTACTGGCAGTTTGTAAGGTGGTACCTTTAATCAGTCAGAAAGCCCATCTTAACATTACAGATCTTTATTATAAACTATGATCAATTTATCATAAACACTGAAATTTTGTTCTCTGTTTGTCTTAATTCAGTGGATTCCTTAAATACACACTTTATTTTGAAAACAAGAAAAAAAGATTATACATTAAAAAGACCAGACAGCCCTGGCCGGTTTGGCTCAGCAGTTAGAGCGTCGGCCTGCGGTCCGGAGAGACCCGGGTTCGGTTCCCGCTAAGGGCACGTACTTCGGTTGCAGTTTGTCCCCGGCCCTGGTTGGTAGTGCGGGTGGCAGCCACTCGATGTGTCCCTTCACATCGATGTTTCTGTCTCTCTCTCCCTTCCTCTCTCTCCCTCCCACTCTATCTGAACAAAAAATGGAAAAATATCCTCGGGTGAGGATAAAAATAAATAAATAAATAAATAAATAAAAAGACCAGACAGCCCTGGCCAGTGTTGCACAGTGGTTAGAGTACCAGTCTGTGCAATGAAGGGTCGTGGGTTCAATTCCCAGGTGACCACGTGCCTGGATGTCGGGTTCATCCCCAGCCCAGGTCTGCATGTGCAGGAGGCAACCAACTGATGTGTCTCTCTCACATCAATATCTGTCTGTCTGTCTGTCCCTCTCTCTCCCTCTACTCCCTTCCACTCTCTCTAAAAAAAAAAGTCAATGGAGAAAATACCCTCTGGTGAGGACTAACAAAAAAAAAGACAAGACAAATAAATGACTAAAGTAAGAACATTCATAATTTTAGCCTTTGCTCTCATATACAAAAGCAAACATTCTAGCATTTTCTCCATTTCTTCTCATCTGAGAGATGCTATTTACACTGGAAAAGAAGTTAATAGACTGGATCCTAACCTGAAATTTCAGTTCACAAGACAGCCTTAATAAAGAATATATGGGCCCAGTTTGGCTCAGCGGTTGAGTATCAGCCCGCGGACCAGAGAGTCCTGGGTTCGGTTCCTGCTAGGGGCATGTACCACCAATCAATCAATCAATAAAATGTTTTTTTGTTGTTGTTTTTTTTATCCTCACCCGAGGACACTTTTCCATTTTTTGTTCAGGTAGAGTGGGAGGGAGAGAGAGGAACAGAGAGAGAGAGAAACATCGATGTGAAAGGAACACATCGAGTGGCCGCCACCTGCACAACCGACCAGGGCCGGGGACAAACTGCAACCAAGGTACGTGCCCTTAGCGGGAACCGAACCCGGGTCTCTCCAGACCGCAGGCCGACGCTCTAACCGCTGAGCCAAACCGGCCAGGGCAATAAAATGTTTTAAAGAAATAAAGAATATATGGCCCTGGCCGGTTTGGCTCAGCGGTTGAAGCGTTGGCCTGCGGACCAGAGTCCCGGGTTCGGTTCCCGCTAGGAGCATATACCAAAAAAAAAAAAAAAAAAAGAGAATATATGCCTTGACCAACCATTGTGGTTCAGTGGTTGAGTGTTAACCCGTGCACCAAGAGGTCGCTGGTTCAATTCCTGGTCAGGGTACATGCCAGGGTTGTGGGCTCAATCCGCAGGAAGGGGTGTGCAGAAGGCAGCCGATCAATGTTTCTCTCTTTTATCTCTCCCTCTCCCTTCCTCTCTCTCTAAAAATCAATAAAAAAGAAAGAAAGGAAGGGAGGGAGGGAGGGAGGAAGGGAGAGAAGGAGGAAGGGAGAAAGAGAAGGAGGGAGAGAAGAATATATGCCTTGCAGAGAACACACAGACCTAAAAAGTAAAACTAAGTAAATTCTAATGGTTTTATGCCTCAGTGCTGGTTTCATGCAATAGAGCCCTCAAATAACCATGGAATTCCCAATGCAACAATGCTACAACCCCATCTACTGGAGAGGTGAAGGTAATTGAGTCAATTTTTAATAAATATATCTTTATGTGGGAGCCTTGTTAAAAACCAGTATCATGGAAGTACAGCTAAAAATACTTCAAAACAATAAGAGAGCCTTACCTACATCTTTTCGTCCTGGTTTTTCAAAACGTCTGTCACCCCTAGAAAAGACAAGTTTCAAACAAGACTTGAGAGTAATATATAGATTTCCATCTATGACACACATTTTCCTATCTTCCTTTAATAGTATTTCTTTCTCTTTCAAATGACAAAACAAATAAATGGTTATTGCCTAACATTTGGAAAATACAGATAAGCAAATATGAGAAAATGTGTTTCCCCGCATTATTAAATATTTTCAAAATCATTCTAACTTTAATGGTTATACTGAATTCTATTGTGTGGATACACCCTTAGATGAAAAAAAAAAAAAAATGCTGATATTAAGCTGCTTGGCTTGTTTCCCATTATTTTATATTATAAATATCATCACAGTGGACATCCTGGCATGTACAACTTTGTCACAAACAATATAGAAGACGCTTTAACAGCAACACACAAAAAAATGTCAATGCTTCCTACTTAATGCTCCTCAAATAGCAAATCTAATTAACTATTAAATATCCAAGCAGGCACTAATATATTTACCTATTAATGCAAAATACTTCTTTTAAATATCATTAAAAAATTTCTACCATGCAACTTGATACTCTATAATTAACAGCATTTTTTAAAAATGAAAATTTGTGCCCTGGCCAGACGGCTCAGTGGGAGCATTTCCCTGTACACTAAAAGGCTGCAGGTTCAATATCCAGTCAGGGCACAAACCTAGGTTGTGGGTTCGATCCCCAGCACATACAGGAGGCAACCGATCAATGTTTCTCTCTCCCTCTCAGTCACTCTCAAAGTAAAGAACATATCCTCAGGTGAGGATTTAAAAAAAAAAAAAGTAAACTTGCAACTGCACGAAGTGCCTTCTCCTCTATAGAAAGCAGAAAAACCCAGTCAGTATGGCTCAGTGGTTGAAAGTCAACCCACGCATCAAGAGGTCACCAGTTCAATTCCTGGTCAGGCACATGTCCAGGTTGTGGGCCTGATCCCCAGTGGGAGGCATGCAGGAGGCAGCCAATCAATGTTTTTCACTCTCTCTCTCTCTCTCTTTCTCTCTCCCTCTCCCTTTCTCTCTAAAAATCAATAAAATTAAAAAAGAAAACAGAAAAGAGGTTTTTTACACAGAGAAACCTTTATACCATGATGTGGATCTCTCAGTTACCTTTCTTCCCAGCTCTGCGACCTATGCATTTCCCTGCCACCTCCTCGACCAAACACACCCTCTACTTCATCAAAGCTTCTTTGGTAAAAACCACATTCACCTCTGCCTCTGCCTGAAAATAAGAAAACAGAAAAAATGATAGTTAGATGTCAACATCTGGCACACATTCAACACCAAAGATTAATCTTTGAAGTTCTGTCTCTATACAAAGCAAAATGTCTATATTTAAATATTTAGCGAGGTCCAATGGATCTTTACCTGTGAGACCAACGATGGCACTGAAGTAGCTAGACCACAGGAGGTTGAAAGAAAGTTAGTAAACTGGTATAAGAATCCCAGTCCCAGTACCAGTCCTGAATAAGAAACAGTGTCAATATTAGCTCTTTAATAAAACTTTCAACAGTGAAATTCTAAGGTGATAACTAAACAATTACTACAAGTTAGAACTTTTATTAGATTGTTTTCAATATAAATTGAAGATTTGGAGCGTTTGGAAAGAGAGAAAGTACAAAAGCCAAGCACAAATGTCAAAATAATTTAACTCCAGAGAAAGAATAATAGGGTCAACTCTAAATATCAATTTTGTGAACTAATTCCTTAAAGGATATGCCACAGAAACCAAAGACACTTTTTCCTCTTTGCTCAAATCTTGAAGAAAAGTATTACGAAGAAATTTGAACCATAGAGCTGACAAAGAGTGTGTAGATGTAAGGATTTAGAAGCTCCAGTGGTTCAGCCCTGGCCAGTTTGGCTCAGCAGTTGGAGTGAACCAGAGTCCTGGGTTCGGTTCCCACTAGGGGCAAGTACCAAAAAAAAAAAAAGAAAAGAAAAGAAACCTGTGTTCTAGAAGCTCCAGTGGTTCAAGTGTAATTTGGCCTTTACTAAAGGTAACTGGGTCAAATTTTGACTCAACAATTCTAACCAGAATGTATCCTAATAGAAATACTCTCACAAATATGCAAATGCATACGTATAAAGATGTTCACTGTAATAAAAAAAAAAACAATCTAATCAATAGGATTAGTTAAATAAATTCTGATAAAACAATTCAGTAGAATACCATGAAGCCACAAAAGATAAAGTACTGTCTTTTTTCAAAAATCTGTATTATTCTGTTGAATGATAAAAGCATGCCAAAGAACAAGTCATATAAAAGTGATCCCACTTATATAAATAATATAACTGCATAGTTCGGGTCAGGAAGGATATATACATAATTGCTGGGTCTGGATGCAGAACACTGTATGAATTTTTGGCTTTATACTTTCTGTACGATGTGAGTATTCCCCAACTAATGTGCACTGTACGTTTCCAATACACAGGTTTGAAAATTGGAGGTGTGTAGGGGATGTCTAGGGATGTGTTTATACCTAGATGAAATCTAAGCCATCATCCCTAGCCCAACTTATCCAAAGAGTAAAACCACCCAAAGAAAAATGATGTTGAATATTGAATAAAAGCATGGATGCAGCCCAGCCGGTGTGGCTCACCAAGAGGTCACCAGGTCAATTCCTAGTCAGGGCACATGCCCAGGTTGTGGGCCAGATCCCTGATGTGGGGCGTGCAGGAGGCAGCCGATCTATGTTCTCTCTCACATCGATGTTTCTATCTCTCTCTCTCCCTCTCCTTTCCTCTCTCTCTAAAATTAATAAAGAGAAAATATTTTTTTAAGAAACATGGATGCATTCCACAGCTAAATACAATTAAGTTAAATGATTATTTCAAATATCCACGCAGAATTTCTACGTCTTGGTTATAATTTCTTAAGGATTGACTCAGAATAGTTGTAGTTTAACATCTCATTAGAAAATACAAAAATAATGGACAAGATTATATGTGGGTAATCTTAGGAACAATGTGTACCTTCTTAATAGTCCAAGTACCCATTTCTTCATCTGTAAAACACGAGGACTAGGGTTTAACTGTAATAATCTTAAACTTGCCTTCTAGTTGTGTCAACTTTAAGTCAACTGAAAGTCAACTCCCAGTTTCAGTACCTCTCTCCTTAGGAAATGTATACATTTTATTTAAGATCCCAAAACAGTTAATACATACTCTTATACAATACTGGGATGATCCCTACAATAATAATTTTTAGGGTGAAAGAAAAACAGTACCCTGTCCTTTTAGAGAACAATTTTCTCTGGAAAACTATTATGTATCATCTATATGAACATAAAAAATAGTCTCCAGGTTGTCAGAAAAATAAACTAAACACAAAAGATTTTCCACCAGTTATGAATGGCATTAGCACTGGACCTCCTTATAAAACAAAAGCTTTATAAGTGGGCACATTAAAAAAATCAGTTTCTAGAGCTTCCCAACTTATAGAATGTAGAAATAATCTTCGAAGTACACAAGGCCCATAATCATTTATAAGTGTACTTCCCAGATAAGAAGGAGCAAGTAAATATAACAAGATGAATCTTTCATAAAGCTCAACTTACAGGACTGTCTTATTATCTGACATTTCACCTTATTCTTTTGGGGGATTAAAATATACTTCCTTTTAATAAAGACAGTGGCTGACAGTTGTGTGGATCAGCTTCGTTGTTAAACATCTTAACCAGATAAAATGGAAAGATGACAACGATGTTGCTTCCCCTCCATTTTGTTAGTTTAAATTTTATTAGTTCATGATATTTAGAAGTCTAGAAATAAGTCAATTTTCATATTAAAGTTTCCTCAAATTGGAAAGAGCCAAGATTATCATCTAATGTTAACTCGGCCCATGCAAAAAAAAAAAAAAAAAAAAAAAAAAACCCTCAATAATCATTATTTAACTAACAAGTTTAAATTAAGTAACAAGTGAAGACGATAAAACCACAAATAAATGGTCTTATGAGGCCATTAAAAGGAGTCACGGTTGGGACAATGGTGTTAGAAGTATTTTTCACAAAGTCAGTTCCTTCATTTGACTAGTTTCAAACTATTCTTTACATCGATGTTAATTCACAGCTTTCATCACAATATCTATCTTTTGTACATGCCATTTAAATTGTGAATATAAGACTTTTATCCTTTGTGATAACTCTACATTTCAAAGAAACCAGAAAGCAGGGAGAATTTTATCAATCTCTCATTTGTTTCTCAACATGGAATTTTGTAAAGCCTATTTAGAGAAACTGGTTGGTATCTGTAGCACAGAAAGTTGATAGTCACTTGAGGCACATGAAACAGCTGGCTTGATTAATAAGATCTCTCTATGACTTGCCCTGAAAAGTACTGGAGACAAAGCTGAGTACAGCCCTAGCAGGTTTGGCTCAGCGGTTAGAGTGTCGGCCTGCAGAATAGAGACAAAGCTGAGTACACACAACCTCTCTCCTTGCTGCCAGCCCACCACAAAAAAATATAGGAAACACCCAAAAGCAGGCTGGAGCCATCTCCGAAACACCATCGCACCACCAAGATGTACACATCTCAAGTGGAATTCTAGATCAATGAGACCTAACTACAGTTGGAAATCACAATGGGTGTGGAGCTTTTGAAGCACACACAAGCCTAAATCTCACCACCTAAGTATTCTCTCACAAAGGTATTTCTTATAAGTTTTACACATAATTCTAACAACTCCCCAGGCCGAAAACCACTGTTCTAGAGACTGACAAATTCAGAACAAAAAAAAAAAAAACATGTACAACTTGGTAACAGTAATTAGCCTACAAGTGGAGAGTTTTAGTTAACCTTTACATTATTCATAACATCTGTACTCCCACATTTTGAATGGACTACTAAAAGAAACCTCTTCACAGGAATGCACAATTTAATACAGTCTCTATAAAGACTGAGTATAAATTACTCCAGTGATAAGGCACAACTTTAAGAAAAAAGAATTTAGGCACTCCACACTCATAATCATGCCAATCTGGGTGGTGCAATATGTGGACACAATGACCGCTGTAGTTGCAGATACCCACGTCTTCCATTTCTACGGCACCTCTTAAATAAAATGACAAGGGATGTTTAGACTACTACTATGACTGAACCAACTTAGAGGTAAGTACTCAAGTAAATACTCATATTATAAACATCAAGAATGCCCTATGCAGTAGAAAATCAATAAACCCAAAATAGAGAGCAGATATCAAAGAAACAAATAATATCAAAATAAGAATGGTTCTAAGAAAAGACACAAATCTATAAAACGTAGGTTAAATGGCTGCTGCATAATTATTTTTTATTCTAGCCCCTAAAACAGCCCCAATATTGATGAAACATCTTTTATTAAAGTCTCTCTAGGGCAGGGGACACCCTGACACATGGCCTTATAGAGAAACCCTGTGTCACAGAGGTCTGTAAGGACTTCAGTGCTGCTTCAGCAGCCAAGGCACTTGGTGGAGCCCTGGCTCTCCAAGTGCAAAGTTTCCTGGGGATAAAGATTTGCAAAAGTTAACTAGGACCATCTGGAATCCTCCACACTCAAATCTCTAAGCTAGAATTACCCTCCTCTGCTCCAAATCAGGTTTTGTGAAGCAGACACATCGAGAAATGATTCAGAAAACAAATGTTCAGGATATTCAGTATGTAGTTAACGTCAAAGAGCAGTTTTTTTTAAATCAAGTATTAAAATATTTTTTAAGTGATTTTCCTATTCTCCACCTCCTCCTCCTCCATTATTACTTTTCATGAAAGCTCACCTCGCCCTCTTGAAGAACTTCGACCTCTAGGAGCCCCCACCACTGTTCCTCCTCCTCGTCCTGTCAATCGCAGGACAGCGGCACTATTTACAGACATGGAAAAGTTTCTCTGCCAAAAAAAATTAAAAAGAAAGAAAAAATGGATAAAACAGATAAAACTGTATGGTGCTTCTCCCCATCTCCCGCTGCACCTATAAAATGGCATCTAGTTACTAATAGCAATGGGAAACCCTAACAATATACTAAGGTGATCCAAAACCTAGTTTTTGCTAAAAATTTCAAATAAACACTTCAGATCAACAAACATTGGCAACTAAAGCCTTACACTATGCTAGGTTCTGTGAAGAAATATTAAACAAACTCTAAATGCTATAGATATCCAAAGCAGACATGGTAAATATGTATCATAACGGAGAAAACTTGGTAAAAGAGAGTTGATTTGAAAGGGTCCTTTAATTAGTGAAAGGCAAAAATG